GCTATAGAGCGGTACTTTGCTTACATAATCAAACCTTGAAATGTATGCTCTAGAGGAAAGCATCACGAAAGATACGGCATCAGGGTGCTCGCAGGTGGTGAATTTATCTAGTATCTGCCATTCTATCCAGTTTACAATGCACAAACGTCATGTTCATTGTCAATAGGAGAGATGCAATCTCTAGCTAAATCTTCCCCCTACCTCACAGGAATTAAGGGCAGAGTTAACTTAGAGGTAAGAAGAGAGAGGGGGATCTAAGCAAAATAGCATTTGTTCACATAAACTTGAGATTACCTATGACGAAACGTTTTGTTATGACAAAAACATGCCACAGGAGCATGCTCGCATAAAATTAAACGGCGGCGAGTTCACTTTACAGAAAACAAATAGACAGTCAATCGCGGTAACAGTGCTTGAATCCCTTGAGTGATATAACTCAGAATACGATTAAACTTGAAGAATGCAATGTGCGTGGGCGTATGAAATATAACACATATAAATTGTCTCTATGGCCATTGTTTGTTTTTTTTTTTTTTTTAATAATCGAATTCACAATTTAGATTTTTTCCTAGGAACTTTCAAAATTCTTCATGGTGACCTCGCTGTTTCGGTAGTCTGCAGGATTTGGAAGCCACACGCTTTTTATTAAAGTGCGCGAGACAGGGGACGCGGACGTTTCTAAATTTTTCCATTAATTTGTTTTCCGTTCTGATTGAGAACGCTTCGAATATGGGAAATATGTAGGTAATGTTGTGTAGGCTAAGAGAGCGATTTGACAGCAGCATGCTGCTCATTGTCCTTTAGATGTCGCTTGTCAAGTTTGAATTTAAAGCTCCTTTCGACTGTGTCATCTACTTTTCATGCACTAGGCAGGTCTTAGAGGAGAGGTTTTTTATGTTTTGTCATCAATTTTTTTTTTGCCACTACCTTTTTTTAAAGAAAGTGAGAAGAAAAATAGCACTACCTTTCCTTGCAAAAAAAAGGAAAAAAAAAGAAACGTGCTTACATGTGTTTTGGTACAATTAGAGCCTTATATAAGCTTCAGAAGACGAGGGCTGGCTTCAGGCACAAAGGTGCAGTTCTTGTAGATGTCCTCTGATACTGCGAATTCGCTTTTAACGTGTTAGAATTGGTGATTATGGCTATTTTGGACGCAGTAGACGTCCTCAGACTACGGGATGTGTTCGTCGTCAGTTACGTGGTATTGTTCAGTAAACACGTGCAAAAGGCCGCAAAAAAAGGAACTAGACTTTCTTATTTTGAAGTTTCAAGAAAAAAATATATTATCATAGATTTTGGCAATATTTTGGTCTGCCTAGGCTTTGCTAATACTTTTTTGTTAATATTAGGACTGTTCTCTTACTTAGTTTTGACGGTGGTTCTATTTGGACTATCTCAATTAAAAAACATTGAACTAGAAAAGCAAAGACATAAAACATTCGATCGCAGAAATTCGACATGTATATAAACGTCTTACATTCTGCATTTTTTTATTTTTTGCTTTTTCGCAGCCTGTACGCTGTTTGACTGATTTTGATTTATTATCATTTTTTTTCAAATATGTTTCGATGTTAAGAAGTCGACCTGGAAATTAATGGTTGTTTCGTAGTGTTTTAAACTGGAAATTAGCTTCATGGCGAAAATGGTCTCCTGACTTCTTTTTATATATAATGGGAGTTGCGGAAGATTGGGAAGTGGTAACATTGTGAACGAAGAGGGTGAGAGTGATTATTGGAATAATTCGAGTAATTTTAGGGTAAAAAGAGAGAAAAACAAGACGTAAAGAAATAGGGGCAGGAGCGGGCATCGAATACGTAACCTTCGCCTATCCGGGGCGACGCCTTATCCGGTCAAAATATTCCGGCCACTTCTATCGGCGGACTCAATTCTTGACTAGCTCTCTGTGTACTAATATTTTAGAATTCGGTTCACTGAGTAGACGACAGCCGTTGCTCATTGAATGTTCATGCTCGTTCCCAGTGGGTGCGGTGACATAACAAGGTATTTTAGCTTAAAAATTCGAACATTCTGGATTACAGTCTTCCAATACACCTCTAGTATGTTTTTTTTTTTTTTTTTATTAAGGGCTGTCTGATTTGCTGTTCCTTTGTGCCGGTCGTGGCCTCAAAGTTTGACTTCGCACGCTGTGTGTTAAACGGGTTACCGGGAGCAGCCATACCGCAGACAATCATTTGTGTAATTTGTAGTTGAGTGACTCTTGAGACACACTGCGTGTGATTGATTGAATGACACGAGACGCAACGGCTAGGTTTCTTTGCACACACATATTTAGCACACACAAATCTCTGCAATACGGAAAAGAAAATACGCATACCTATATATATATATATTTTTTTTTTTTATCAGAGACGCCAAAGTGGGATTTCAGGCTGCGCTGCAATACCAGAACGAAGCCTGGGGGGCGATAGCAGCAGCTTAACCGCCAGCAGCTCTGTAAGCTATTAGTGATATAAATACTAACACATTAAAGATCGCCGGCAGCTTATTTTGTTCACGCATCTTGATTACTTTGTTTTTCTTCTGACCGCTCAATGCTGAAATCCAATAGGTTTCGGAACGATCATTACATATTAGAAACCTGGCCCACCTAGGGTTTTGTAAGCAGTCATTTGCTACTGTCTTTTAACAGTCCTTTTAAAAGTAATGGATGTGGTCTTTTGAACGCAATATTTGGTTCAGATATCATTAGGGGTCATATACACGACTTTCGTTGTTTTTTGTTTTTTGTTTTATTTAAATTCAGTCCTGTTTGCTAGATCTATTATTTAACGTTTTTTGTTTTTTTTGAAACTCAAGGCTGAAACTGAGAGGGAAATTTGGGTGAGCGCAGTCAGGATCATATCTCGTTCAACCTAAAATACAACACCAATGTGCTACTTAGTCGAGCCATCCGATTGTGATCAGATTCTACGAAAGAAGAGTGAAGCGCTCGGACGGCTTTACTATTCTAGATGGTGCAGTGTGCGGACCCAAGACTGGCATCGAGATTTGGAATCAGGACGAAAAATGCGGAAACTGGAATCTTCGTACGTCACCGTCTGTTTACTTTTGGCAAATGGTTGAATCGATTTATAGTAACGGATATGATCAAAACGGCTGGGAGCTCTTTCGGAAGTTCTTGCCCTCAACGCAAGCTCCCTACATTTGTCTACTCTTCGGCATACAATAGGCTCCAAGAATACAGATGCAGTCTACGCTCAACGGATACCAAAAAGCTCCTGGTACAAGCCTGGTATTTAAAAAAAAAAACGCTTTTTTATACCCCTTTTGTCAAACATAGTTTCTGTCAGTACTGCAGTGACGACATGACCATCAAGCCATAAACGAGATGACTATAGAATATTGAGGTTATGAACATACTAATTTTGCGGCATATTCTTATATCTAAGTTTCTTCTGCCCAATAAACATGCAGAGCAGGTTATATTCATACAAGTGTCACAATATATGTTTCAATTTGAAGTCTTTTTTAATGAAATATAAAGCATTTCCGTATTGATTAGTATTCGATAAAATAGAGTTCGGAATAATATATTTTAAGAAATCAGTCAATACGCAGCGGTGCTTTATTCTCCTTACCATTAAGATATTTGTCATTAACTCTTCAAGCAAACAGTCTGTCCGCCTCGCCAAAGATGTCCCATCCGATAAGCACACCACCAAATAGTAGACGCGGCGGGCCCCCGTCTTTAATCTTTCCCGACTGCCGCCGCTTTAGACCATTACCCACGCACGCCAAGCGTTCGACCAACAAAACAGACCTTTGTCTCTGACACTGCCCGACGGCCATTAAAAACCAGACGATCGATGACTTGGACTGCTATCGCCCGTTCACGTGGCAGGTTGACGCCAGCGAAAGAACAAGTGAGGCAAAATACAGACGTGAATTACCCGATTAGCGCCTCACTTCAAGCAAACTTTATACTGAGGTCGTGTTGTCTGGTTACTCGAGGTATAAACAGTAACAACGGGGTCACTTCACGATATATCGACTCGGAAAAAAAAAAAAATTTTTTCTGGCCTTCATCACACCACATAAACGACATGGCTCTGGTAAGCGACTTCACGTTTTAAATGTCCACGGGCAGTTCAAAGGTTGTTTCAACGTTTTAGCATTGGTCCACTCGAACCGCTGAGTTTGTACTTTCACTTGCACTTCTAAAAATGTTTTAATTGCCTTATGGACTATTAGTCGAGACAAAAGAATTTCGTTCTCTTATTATAATTGGAGTTTAAAGTCAATTATATCATGCCAACCAATGCCTCACCTAATATATATTCCGGTTATATCTTTCTAAGAGTTGAGCTGCTGTGCAAAAATATTCTCGAAAATATGAGGTAGTTAGAGATGAGAGCGTAACGTTCGCAGAGTTCGGGATTGTAGATGAGAGTTAATCTAGAGCCCACCTGAATCCTAACTATTGCTTTCAGGCTAATTTTCCAGTGAACATTAAATTAAAAAAAAAAAAACATTCCTTCACTAGCTGATTTAAAAGAGATGCTTACCTGGTAACATAACATAAGAAAGGAAACATGAGTAACAAAAGTAAAAGTTTGGATAATCCTATATTCGGTTAAGTAGCTTTCTTACTATGGCAAGCACCATCAGGTCATTTCATTGTTTTCGCTGCGCATATTACTCCTAAGTAATGTAAGGTGGAACGTACAACAGACCTGGTTTTAAAACAGTGCCAACTGTCACATGAAATTGAACATTCTAAACGTAGAGACCTCTAGCTTCGTTTTGTGCAACGCAATTTCTTTTTTTTTTTTACACATTGTCGCTTCAACTATTATAAAAATTAAGTGTATCTGATGATAAATCACTATTTATATGCCCCAATAGTATAAAAACAGATAAACGCAGTGTGAATCGGGCCATCTTTTCAAACTGATAGTTCGCTCAGTGGTAACTTCATTCAGAACCCACCGTAAATAATCTATTCTGGACCAAGTGAATCAAATGAACGCACAGCTTACCATTGACAACGAGGGTGACTGTTCTATTCACGGTTAATGCAGCGTTGGAAGCCTCGCAAGTGTAGTTTCCGCTGTCGCGCATCGACACTCCCTTGATGGTCAGCACGGAGGAATCATCGAGACTTTGCAGCGACACCGACGAGCTTCTCGACACCAGCTGAGCTCCGTGCATCCATCGCAGCGAAATGGGCGGGTCGCCTTGCACAACGCTGCAGAGCATCTTGACGTTCATTCCCTGGTTGGAAGTCAGCATGTCCGGTAGCATCTGGCTATCGATCACAGGAGGCACTGCGAGGCATTTTAAGAAATAGCTTACACTTTCTCAGCTGGATTTTTTTTTTCGGTGTGGACTACGTACCTTGAAGGCTTAGGATCATATTTTCTTCGTTTATTTACCTTCGTGTAGGGCAAAATGGCAGTGTACATATCGCTTATATTCTGCTATTTTGGTCGGTTTCTTTTATTGTTTGCTAAGTCTAAAAATTTATTAATTTTTCGGTGAATATAAAAAAATGGCAGAATGCAACTATCTTTAAGGTATTTCTGTTTAAAGCATATACTGAACAGATACATCCCTAACACAAATGAATGGTCCTTTCATATCAGAAGATAGGTTTCGCTCAGTTGCACTCTCGTTTTTTTCTTTTCTACAGGGAATGTTTTATTGTTCCTTATGCGACCCTTTCTTTCCGTTTCCATTCTGTCCTCTCCCAATGTCTTCTATGGTGACGGACGAGGTGAGAACGAATGCGATTAGATGCAGTACTCCCGCGTCCGGTGCAGCGCGAACGCACAAGAGCAGTCAGCGCACGGCGGAAGATACGGCGCGCGTGCAGAAGGCCAGATGTTTGAAAGAGACGTCGTACCGTTGTAGTTCTTTCAGTGACTCTAGCTAGGATTTTCATATTACTATCTTTAGCCCCAGAATATGTTATTTTCTGTTCGTATTGTTTTTCAGTTACCATATCTTGCGTCAAAAGTCACCAATCTTTCGCATAAATAGATTGGAGCAATCTCACTTCTCTTGCATTCTCCTTTTACCCGAGGGCAGCAAATATAGTTCACCCAATTAGAATTAAAGCAGTAAGATTTAAAGAAAATGTATGTTGTATTTTTCCTATGTTCAAAGAATAATTTTCTACTTAATAATATGTTCAGTTATCTTCTGCAGTCAGAATATGAAGAGATTCCTCATGACGATACCGCTTTGATATATCCACAGATATGACCATAACACTTCTTATACTATTTTTGATGCACAAACCTTTGGTGCGATTTTATTTCGTGGATTACTAAATAACCTAGGTGTCTTTTCTGAACAATATTGCTTTTCATGATGCCACAGAAAAAATACATATAATGATAAAATATAAATTGAGAATACCATATCCGCTTATATTTACGCAGTTCGCAGTATAAAATGTATACTTTAACTTCGTACTCAATGCATAACAAATAAAAAATGGCCACTTCTCTAATTTGGACACTTTAGGTTTAGATGCGAGGCTTCTCATTGCAGAAGGAGAGCGGCAATGATGTATCATCGTTTTACGATCGCGTCACGCGCCCCTAATAATTTTAGTAAAAAAATGTTTACAAAAAAAAAAAACGCGCACGTTTTTAAACTAAACTATTCACAATCTTCTGAGCGAAGTAAGAACGCTCTGTTGGAAGGAATCCTCGTAATGCACATCAGTAGCACTCCGAATTCCGGAATGCGACAACGTCCAGATTCTTATTTCCTTCTTTAGATTATTCAAGTCTGCACGTCGTACCAGCGGCGGAAAGGGCATTATAAAAGCCCGAATTTCGGGAGCATTCACCTTGTACGTGAACGAAGGTATTCCCCCTGGCGGAGAGGTTGCCGCTTCGGGCGACGCAGGAGTACTCTCCCTCGTCGGACGCCCGCTGGACGTTATGCACGGTCAACGTTGAGTGGAAGACTTGTTGTCGGTGATTGGTCGGCAGTTTGGCGTCCCCTGAGACGTCAGCAGGTGTAAACGGAATGCGCACCCTAAGAATTTTTTTTTTCGATGAATATTATATAGATTTATTTCCGTAACCTTTCTCAGACACAAAAAATCGAAACCACGAAGTTCATAATTTTGGAAGCCTTACATGTTGACATTTTTACTTAATAATGTAGAAGGTGAACACTTTCATATTTCAAGATTATGGTTCAACATTGGGTCCTACAAATTTTTTTTTGTTGCTGCGATAGTTGGTTTGAATCAAACTTTAGAACCAATAACTTCATTCTGATTTAAAGCAAAAAGAAGCACGCCCATGTGTTGGCCATACATTAAGTCTAATATGGCCACCAGTAATCGGGATTCACATGGGCAGTTGGAGAAGAGTTCAACCAAACCGTCAAGCCTGGCCACTTTATATCTTGATGCCCTGAACGATTCCTGCTATTTCCCATTTGTCCCGGATTCGAACGTAAAACCTTGGAAGTTGTTTTGCTTCGAAATCAAGAGACAAAAAAAAAATAATGATTGAGATCTGTGGCAACCCTTTTTAGCTTTTAGTTCGCACATTTCTATCACCCCGCTATCGATCTTCGGCTCAATAATGGTACTCAAGACATTACGAATACGCTGGAGCGACAAGCAGAACGTTATTAAAGCTGTCCTTTCTCTCAATCAATAACGTGACATTTCGGAGGAGTGTGTAATGATTGCCTCCAATCTGAGTGCCCTCAACACTGCCAGAAATCGACGGAATCAACATTATATATTTGCTTCAAATAAAGTTCTGGGCCTATTAAGATTATTTTTAAACAAGAACATTTTAGGAATCTTGTAGGACTGCAGCAACAAAAATTGTAGTCATGTCCAATTCACGTATTTTGAGACAAGATAAGAAATTGTTTCTCGTGTAGAGGCAGCGTTTAAACACTATAGTATATTTCAATAAAACCTGGGTAATCTTAAGTAGGCGCATACTACAGGCTAGTGTCAGTCATTTTTGGTGTGTGAAATAAAGTGGATTACGAAATATTTGGTTCCACTACGACTCGTTCTGTGGACCTCGATTGTTATAGAAACGAGAAAGCAGTCACATGCAGTCGTTACGCGATTGGTCGTACTAAAACGCATTTGAACTAACCCTATGTTTTTATTGCAAAAATATAAGAGACTATGCTTCTATTTTGACTCTGCAAGTCGTGAATACTAAAGCGTTTATTCATGTACTTACATTAAACAAGATATTATTCATTAAAACGCAAGCGTTACAGTTTTTAATAGCTTGCCTCTGGGAAGGTATAGCGGTGGCGTGAAAGGATAACAACCTCGTCGGTACAACTATTTTAGTATTTGAGCCTTAATACGGCGACTAGTGACGAAATATAATCTAACCTTTGAGCCAAACGACGTTGTGGATCGGGAAGCCCGCCACGGGACAGACTGTTTGGAAGCTTCGGCCGGCGATCACGGTGACGTTTCCCATGGACCTGATCATGGGCGGTCCGTGCACGTTAACCCTGGCCGAGTGTTTCGCCTCGCCAACGACGTTGGTGGCCCTACACACGTACTCCCCGCCGTCTTCGACGCGGAGCTCGGTCACGTTCACAAAGCTCACCACCGTCGAATCGGACGTGACGAAGTCACCGACCCGGAAGCGTGGGTGGTCGGGTACGCCGCCGCCATCGAGAGTCCACGTTACCTAGGGTTTTAGAGATCGAGTACCGTGAGGGCAAAATCCAAAGTTGGAAGGTAAATTGAAACACATGCGTCCGTGTCAAATTACGATTGCGCTGCACTTTTAACAGTGCCTTTACGTCGATATTCCGTTTCAGCATAAGTCAGACCGTAGCCCACGCTACAGTGCGGAGGAGTTAATCAAGCGGCGCTAAATTGCATTCGCAAAACTCTCGTCGTTTTTTTTTTATTTTTCGGAAGTATATTTTCACGCGCTAAACCGATCATTAAGAAATAAAGTAAACAAATCATTCCGCATCCACAGAGCGTGACTGGTTAAGCCGGTGATGTCATATTCAAAATCACAATAAGCACCAATACAATACAATTTTGACGGTGGTTGATTCTGATTGGCTCCTTCGGATTTCTGCGTCTGGTGCGGCCGAGCCAAAAGTGAGACTGGGTAATCGCTACGTTCGTGTGGCGCACCACTTCCTGCCATCTCCGCACCAGTGGTGCACAGAATAACGCGGCGAAAAAGACGCTTCGGTGCGGGAATGCGGTCGGCATGCGAAGGGAAACAATCGAGTGAAGCAATGAGTTCACGTTTCCTTTTCTCATTGCGCTTCAACGCAAACTAGCACCCCTTACATAGCTAGGAAGCAGCGCCAGACTTCATGCGCTGGGCGCAATATTTTGACGCCAGTGATGCGGAAGAGTTCTAGAACTCTCGTTCTCTATGGTTGAGGGCCATTTTTATCCAGACTCTGAAGTAGTGCTCGTGAGCAACCTGTTCTTCGCGCACTCTTCTGAAGTACCTGATTGAATACAGGGAAGCGCTGGAATTAATACACAATGTCCTGGTAATTCCTCGAAATACTGAATCGAACAGTGTAGTAATTTGAACTGCCCTCAATGGGCCGCGATACAACTCATTTTCCCAGTTGACTAAACTAGTGAGGGGATCACCAACAATTGGTGTATCGGATGCATCGGTGGGCAGTGTATCCGCATCAGTTTCTGAAAATGCGATCAGGAAAATATCGGTGCATACGTATTACATTGTGGACGACCGCGATACCGTTTTCGCTGTTGTTCGTTTTACGTCAATTCAGACGAAATGAAAACGTCGATCGGAAAAAACAAAAACATATGAAGCAAATAATGAAAGACTGGGAACACCCTTCGGCTGCAAGCATGTTCCATGCAGTGAACATTTTCGCCGCATGCACTGTGCTCCTTGTCCCCGAGTGAATTTTATGTGGGTCGTTCCATGCCAAACGTCCCAGAAGGTGATAAAGGTCATTATCTCTTTCTCAGAAAACAAAATCGTAGCCGTTTGCTAGGTGCACAATAAATATTAGTCGAACTATTTTTTTAACATCTTGTTTACCTCGGTGCTCTCTGAAATTTCTGCAATGGAGCCTAAATAGGTGCAAGTTAAAATATATGAAAATTCAATTTTTTTAATTGGCATGGTTTGATTATGTATATATTTTGACATTGATATTTCGTACGATGCCAGAGTTTATAATACGTAATGGATTTTGTGTTTGTTTTGATAGAATGAACAAAAACAAAATAAGATAATTTCGTCCTTTACAACAGAAACACTCTCGAGCTTGATGGTATTTTAAACCGTATCTGGGGAAACAGTTTTTTTTTTTATATTTCGCGTTTAAATTATTTGATAAAAATAAAGCAAGCATGTTTCCTAACAATGAATATCAAAGTTGCACAAGAACTGACTTTTTCTGACGAGTGATACCCGGTTTATGCATTTAGGCCTCTCGATGTAAGCATCTGGAAATGCTCATTAGGTACATCAAGTTTCTGCCTTGTAAATGAGGAAACCTTGTATTGCTCACGTTTCGTTTGAAGTATAAACAAACACATTTGAAAATAAGTAGGTGTCTAATTGTGGTTAGTTTTAATGTGCAGTGCCTACACTGCACAACACGAACGTGCCGCTCGTAATTTGAGACGTGCCACACGACCTGTTCCTCTACTATTTCTTCCAGAATAACGCATTTAAAAGAACATTATCAAAATAAATCAAACTCGATGCGCTTGGGGCCCGAAGGCATGTGGTCTAACTCAAATTACGAGCCGTGCGAGCGTTTTGTGCGGTTAAATATATGTATGGCCAACTCAAAATCAATTCATTTCTTGCCCAATATCAAAAGTCTGTTTTTCCCGCTTAGAATATAATTTGCACGTATCAGATTTACTTACTTACAAAGTAAGAAGGCCGTGTATCTAATATCTTGTCCCGTATAATTTCATTAGAAGGGCCATGATGCTCTATTTTTGTTTGCATCTTCAGCAAAAGTCAGTTTTTAATACCTTTATTTTTTATTTCTTGGGAAAGCTTTTTGCGTTGTTGTTAACAAATCGATGTAAGCGTCAATCATACAAACTTTCCAGCCAAAATGCGTTTTGAAAATATCTTCAAGGTCAACAGTGCTCAACATCTACACTTCTGTGTTTTCTTACTCCAGGAGAATTAACGCAATATTGTTTACGTCATATGAGCTCTTCCATTACAGAAAGTCACAATCTCAGCAGAGCGTGTAAACAAATTTATTTACACCAAACGAATCACTTAGATAATAAGTATATTTTTAACTTATAGCAAGTTTTTCTTCGCTGCCAAAATGAAAGCCCCGTTCAGGGGTGAAATAATTAACATTTCTAGAGAAGAATATGCCTACATCAAATTGCGTAATATGATCCGAGTCCTACGTTTTTAATATTATGCAAAAATTAAGGTTAAAGCCATGTTTTTCGGAGAAGCATTCAGCAAAATGCGAAAGCCGCAGCTAATTTTGTTCAGACGACATAAAACCTCTTTGCTCGAGGCGTGGAGATTGCAAAAGTTTCGCTATGGAAACTTACACAGTTTTCATTTTTGTACAAAAACATGTACGTTGCAATATATTAGTTTTATTTATTTTATAAAATGTTTACGGCAAATACCCATATTATTAAAATTTTCAAAAAATATTTCTATGCACAACATCTTACGGAACATGACAAATAAACGCGTTTTAGAGAAACGTTCACAAACTAATAGCCATCAAACTACTTAAAATAAAACGGCGCAAAATGCGAAAGAAGATCATCATTAAATGCTTTTAAGAATATATGTATAAATATGCTCGAACAGGTATCGGAGTTCTGTTATGAATCCATAAACGCAGCTCATTTTTCTGAATGTAAACAAAAATAGCACGTCAATATTTGAAGAAAAGAAAGGCTCCACTTTTTGTGTTATTTAAACCCTCCTTAACCGTTTACAGTGCCTTGTACTAACTTGAGTTGACAGAATAATTCGTACCGATAACCTCCCTAGAAAAACGACAACAGACTTTCTCTTAAATTGAGCTAGCTTGTCTACCTTATAAGCGTTTGCTGCACAACGTCGGTTCTAAGGAAACATTTTTTTTAACCGACAAAGGTTGTACAGTGGTGCAGCTCTATTGTAGGGTGTAAGACGTTATTGTGTCCCTAGTTTAGCTTTATATTCGTTTCTTTTCGTTTCCGAAACACATGCAAATTTAATGTTTTTTTTTACACAGTGACGTAAAAGGCCGGTTAGGCCCTATACATCTCTAATGTAGGTGGACCTAAACGTTTTCAATTATGCCAACCCTGTTTGTAATTCATGTGGTATATTTATTTTTAAGATTAACCTAAATATATAAACTCGTGTTTCTCTAAATTGAACATTTGGCAGGAGCCAATATTGTAACAACCCCTTTTTTTTTCAATGCGTGCTTTTCCCAGGATCGATTTTACCCGCGTTTTCTGAAACATCCTGCGCTCAGCACTTATCTCGGAAACATGAGTGTCATATAGTAAATATTTTACATGAACATACAAACTAGGACTCGAACCATCGCTGTGTCAGCTGACTTGGAAACACCCACGAACAAAACCTTCGTGGTTATCAAATCGTTTCTGAATTATACTGGGTACGCATGAATACTTCTAAAGGATAGGCTAGTTTGTTTGTTGTCGTACAATGTTGAACACCAAGATACCGACACTCCAGGTAATATTCACCCTCGCCTTGTTTCCGCGGTGATGGTCCTTCCTCGTGTGAGGGCTTTGGGCTTTACGGTAATGTGCTGCGCCTACCGTTCTCAATTGCCGGGCACAGTGGCGTCTGACGACAGTCCTTCCAGGGCTAACGGAGCGTCGAAAGGGATGGGTCTCAGTAGGCAACGAAGAGAAAGCCAAATATAAAAGTAAGCCACAGACAGCATGACTTTTTACAGCCTACGATAGAGCAGCACCGCCGTACTTGCTTTCTCGGTCGTAAAAAAATTTCTCCTTGGAGCCTTCGTCGTGCGGCAAAGTCCCTATAACGATGGCAAGCTGGCTTAACCTGAGTGAGGGTTTGTTATCTTTTTTACTCTTAAGGAGCTTATCTGTATTTCAATTCTTTGCCATCGCAATGTAGTTCAAGTCACTAAAATTGTTAATAGACGATATAAAAAAAATTAAAAAGCTATTTTTAGACTATTGACGTGCAATTTTGTAACAATTAAAGGAACTTAGTATCGTTTTGTGCAATAAAAAGAGAAGTACAGTAACGGAAAACCATATTTTCCTATATACATTTAAAACGTATTTAAAGAAAATCATTTTAATATAGTTGGCGTCGTTTTATATGTAGCAATTCGGTGGTATATATTGTGCAAATGTGTTTGTAAAACGTATTTATTGGGCGTATTGCGTAACTGTTTTTTTTTGCAAAAAAAAAAAAACACTTATTGTAATATTTCATATTCCAGTGTACCTCTCGTGACCCTTCTTTAAAATAAGATTCAAACGAAGTTTCAGTCTTTCCACCATGGTGAAGAAGGAAAAGCAGCGGTGTTGGAGCTTCTGTTCTCGGTGGTGGCTTTCTAGGCCAGCGCTCTGCTCTTCTTTAGCAAGGTAATCGAAGCGCTCGACGCAGCGGAATTTTAGGCGGTAGCAGCTTCGCAGCGGTTGCGCAACCATTCCCCCTGCTCCGCACATTGCCGCTCATTTTGTTCCCGCTGTTCTTCCTCCGACGAAAGCTTACCGCCCTCTATGAGCGACGGCGTCAACCAGGCAACTGGTTGCCGCCGTCGTCATAGATGGCGGTACCTGTCCAGAGTTCGGCGTCATCATTTCTTATCCGGCGGTCACGATCCCAAAGAAACTAATCCCTAAGAGCTCCGCTGTAAACTTTTTACTAGGAACATGCTTCGCTGTGAAATTGACGGCTTTGTAAATTACCTTAACGGAATCTTGGCAATCCCCTCGCCTCGAGAATCAAAAGATTGCATCTGTGGAGGAACGTTAGCTATGTCATTCGTACACAGCGGAATGATCCACTCAATAACATATCTTAAGCATGTAATTAATTTTTTTCAAAATTATTACAAAAAAATATTACGCGGACCATTTCGCATGGAAACACAGCAACCTATTTTAGTCGTATAAATGGAAGATAGCCAACTACAAAGAACAGTAAAAAAAACAGTGGACATGGCCGGTACCGCCGTTAGTGATGTGTTGGCATAAGATGACCCATCCGGGTGCCGAATATCATTTTTTTTTTACATTTAAACCCTATGACACGTTCCTTTCCTGCCAATGTTTCAACCCCAGCAGATATGATCGGTGAATAATGCGCGAAGGTATAATTACAGTTCATATAAGAGGTACAGGTTAAAGCATCATGTCCATCAACTCCTCATTTTCTTCTCCACGCGTTTTGCTTCCCCTTTTCACTTAGCAGTATAATGCTTGTAGAATGTTCAAGTTTTTCATAAAGGTTGTTACCTGCGGCAGTGGACTTCCAGAAGCCGAGCAGCGCAACGAGGCGCTGTTGCCGGGCAAAGAAGTTTGCTCGGCAAATGTGGACGAGAGGAAAGGCGCAACATCTGCGAAATTGAAGAAGGTATAGCGTTCTTACATCGAAAAAAAAGAACTGGAACAGTTGCTATGATTTGGTATATAAAACTACGTTTAGTATGCGTTCAAACAATTTTGTGCCTAGATTTAGTGGACATTATGTGACCAGGAACAAGGAGTGGAAAAATTCGAATGTATGTTAAGGTTACATTTTTATAATTTGGTTCATTGTAATGCTACAAAAAGTCGTTTTTTCTGTTTTATGTGAAGATATAGACAACATAGGCTGTTTTATACAAAAACAAACATGTAAAAAACGTTTAGCCTCGTTGCGACTATGTGAGAGGTATTCCTTTTCATAGGTAAAATATATTCATATTCTTAAATAATTTAAAAAAAAATCCAGGACCAAATAATTATATTTTATTTCTAGAGCACTTTGACTATACCATTGCTCACCCTTTATCGCAAATCTTGAAATAACCGACACATTTATTTGTTAATTCTGTGTATACCGGAATTTACTTTCAGAACAGTTTCTGAACTTGTAGCGTTCCTAAAAAACAAGACACAATGATATATTCCATTGTGCCGCATAAAACAATATGCTAGACTGAAGAAGGGACTCATAATTACCTTATTTGATTAAGTTATTTAGTTTTGCTACGATAACTTCTCCAACCTGCAATTGACGCACAATATACTTTCCAGTCCACTCAAATTTCGGGTCTCAATTCGATTTAATTTTATCTCTAGAAAACTGCGGGTGAAAGTAATTTGTACGTTTGTTAATGCTTGTGTCCAAAGCTTAGTTTGATGTTCCTTTTCTCTAGAAAAAACGTATCGAGGAAAATTGATATGCGAGACTTATGTTTTTCCAATTCCTCCGCAGAAGTCTCTGTTTCCTCTTAATTTCCCTGGTTTGTGTTCCATCTTACAATAGACCTTAGCGCACAGTAGAAACCTTCGTGGCGATACTAAAGTCGTCAGTGTGTCACGCGTCGACGTTCAAGGAGGTAGTTAAGCTCAAGAATCGTAAACACTCGATGCACTGAGAGTACTGAACTGACTGGGGATGGCCCGTTGCGTTCACTGCGGTCCAGAGTTAGATGAAACAATGTCTAGAGTGAAAGATTTGGAGTAATTCACCTCCTAGCCGTAGCTCGGCCGACGCTTGCGCGGAGTCAGCTTCGTTATGAAGGTAGCACTGGTAGACCCCGGCGTCCTGTCTCAAGACTGAGTCAATCCGGAGCACGAGGCCCGACGCTAGAAGGGAAATTCTTCCCGTAGGCTGAAGCCTCTTCTGGTCTTTGTACCAGGACACGGACCGCACTGGCTGCCCGCTCGCGGAGCAGTTGAAGGTCACCGGATGGCCCACATCCGCCGTCTGCACGGTGGGCTGAAGTTCTGCCTTTAAGGCCGCTGCGGAAGATACGAGCGTAACCTCCTGGAAGCTGCTATGGGACAAGGGAGGAGCTGGGCGTTCCCGCAATGGGAACTTGGGTCCGTAGGAATATTGTACTCATGGGTAGCCTTCCTATAACATCTATAGCACAATTGCGAAACTGAGCTTTCACGTCGAAAAAACTTGTGCATCAACAAAAAAGGTTATAAATCCTGGAGGGAAACAAGACACTAAATTTGTGGAGGGCCACGGGGTTCATGTTAATATCGCAACGGAGAATTGAAAGACCCAGGGGAGTCTTACCTATATCAGCTAAGTAACCTATTTCTAGAGAGTTGACCCTTCGTTCCCCGAATGTCCCGTGAGCGTCGCAATTTTGTTGCCTAGCGAAGAGCGGGCACCAAATGGTGGCAGTTACAATTCGAAAATGTAATCTCCCCAGCATGTATGGTGTGTTATACACACGATATATTGCAATATGCAGCTTTTTATGCTGTATATTGTTTTTACCCTGTCATGGACTGTTTTAACATATTAAAGGAATTAAAATCGCTTCATGCTTTTTCAGACAAAGCTTGAGATAACTGGAAAAAAAATAATTTAGGCAACAAGGTGGCCGAAATGATGTCACTTTGAAACGTATATCTCTGTGTTTAGGGTATAAACTTCTCACAGCTGTAGATGTGCCAGGGCTATGGGACCCTGCATTTGGGGGCTAGTAAACATCAACGATCAAGCAATTACCACAATGTGTATAAGAAGGTCTTGCAAGAGTAAACATAGTTGGGAAATTTTAAATAGGCGGCGCTAACACGTATGATCTCCTGAGCAGCTTGAGGCACCGCTTTTAGCAAACGAAGAAGCTCTGCGCGTGAACGGTGCTAAACCTCAAGCTTCTCAAGTACCCAAATAGCTCGGGCCGCCGGGAAAAATGCGCGTGCGCACTACTAAACAAAAATGCTAGCTCGTTGCCTAAAAGCTCAACGCTGGGGATTTTCCGTGGCGGGCCCATTGTGGGATGTTCTCGAGGGATCTCGGGCCCCGCGAGAGCTCAAGTATCAACATGGCGGCTACCTCGACGGGCAACATGAGTGATACGGTGGTCACGAAACTCAAGCAAAGCTAATTCTTGTGTGTATGTTTATACAGCCGGAAGTTATTCTGCCTCAGTGGGCGTCTAGTGTCTCAGCTGTAGATGAGCAATTTAGCCAGTGCGGTACAACCGCTAACCTGGGGTCTTTAACGTGCACCACGCAGTATTGATGCACGACCGCACGCCGGTACGATGCTCATCCAGATCGAAATGGGCAGTTTCGATGAAACTCCGTGTTTCATGAAGTTACGGGAAGTTCAATTCGGGAATTATGCGTGGAACCTGCCGCAGTCGAGGATTCTCTTGCACCTGCAGTGGTGCACAGTTAAAGTGTTCACTTCCCACAGTTCGAGTGAGCGCTGCGTCTGCTCACCGCAAGGCCTTACTCATCGCGAAGTTCTTTTGCCGACGGAGGGATAGCTCTTCAAACAATTCCCGAGGTTGTGGCCGTGCAATGGACATTAGTACGTGAAGGGCTTCTTTACACGATATAATTTATAAAGTGTCCCATATCCACGATGATTGTCGGAGACTCCAGGTTTCAATATCGCCACGCAATTTTACTCTACTCGTAGCCTCCGCACAACGCAAAAAGCGCGGTTTATCAGGCAGCTGTACCTAGGTGGAATTTAAAATAAAATAACTGGGAAGGGTTTTTCTTATTATGTGTATTTGAAGAGCCTGGCGGTACTGGAAGTACGAGGAATTGTGGAAAAAAATGCGCGAGGAAAACCTGCTCAAGAGCGTTAACAGAACGCACAACTAAAATCTGCTCGAGGAGGTGGTTTCTTAATACGCATTACACACGCAAGAGTCAGCAACGCTATACTAAAAGTGTCTAATAGAGAGTCCCAATACTGCGTATAGGAGCGAATACAAGACCTTCGCGTTGGCGTTAGCATTGCGTGCTTCCCTTTTGCGCATGCGCGGTGTCGCAATGCGTCAATCAAAACGCAGTCTGGGCTCCGCGCACGCGCATTGCTGAACAGACAACGCTACCACAAACGCAAAGTGCTTACGTGTGTTCGCATAAGCAATATTAAAACTCGTGTTGTAGTATTGCGTATACAAGCGAACGCGAACACTGAGAGTTTCCGTAAGCCTTACGTGTTCCCCACTGCGGATGCGTGGAGCCCAAGCTGCGGTGCTAGGATTGGCGCATCGGTACTACACGCATGCGAAAAATGGAGAACGCAACGCAAACGAAATGGTACACCTCTGTTGTTTGCTCCTATACTCAATACTAGAACTTAATATCATCGAGCGTTATAATCGCCCCGGAAAAGAAATAGCGTCGCCACCACTCAGCGTGCTCCTAGCCGAAACCGCACTTCTAATGCGGCGCATGGAAAGGACGCTATTTGTTTACCGACTCAAAGCATACGCATTTCTGAAGTGTTATAGTATAACCCCTTAGCAGGCAGTTCGTAAATGCAGTCAATCACAGTAATCGTTTGCCTTCGGGGTTGCCCATTACGTATAGCGGGAAAGGTCAATCTGTTAAAGCTTCTCGCCCCGCAAACTCCAAAGGAGGCTGGATAAGTTCAGGTCATCAAGGCACTCTGTGTAAACAAAAAACTTTTATGTAAATCAGCGAAGACTGCTGATCTATGAAGTGTGATGATCTCTGCCTCATCATGTTTTCCTGTCTGCTACTTTTATTTGCGTACTTTACACGCAATTCTACTCTTTGTTATTTTGACGTCACTACTCTGGGCTGTTAGATGATCGGCACGTCAATTCCTTAATATGCAGGGTGTTAGATTTTATATAATTTATATATTTTGTTCCAAAAAAGTGAGCGTGACAAATGCCCTCTCCGCCATGTGGTTATTAGGTACCCACGACTTTTATTTTATGAGGAAATGCTCTTTAACTGATGATCTGTAATTAACATTTTTTGTATTGCCCTGAGAGGTCACGTGTCAATTGCATTTCGAAGGCAATTAGTATTAGACCTGACAAGGATTAAAAAAAATGCAAAAACGTAAGCTTTTTTTATACTAGTCTATTAAATTGGACGCATTTTCGCGGTTTAAAGACTACTTGCAACAAGATTGCGATATGCCCTTCCCACAATGGCTCTTTGAAGAGTGACGCGGAGGTTTCAGTCACGTTGTCGCTTATGTCGTCGGTGCACCTACCAAGGAAACGCTAACTGCCGAGATAGAACGCATTTTCTTTCTAATTTGGTTTTGCATTTAGAGGAATTAGAGTCATTTTGCAACTTCCACATGGCCCTTCATCGCAAACATTTAAAACAGTTAACCAACATATCGTGGTAAGCTAGCCAAATGACAAATCTCATTTCCATAAAAAAACGTTTTAAATCAAATGAAACATTATGTACATTTTCAATTGAACAAACTCTATAATAAGCAGAAAAAAAAAAGAAAGATAGAAACGTGGAGAAACAAAAGTTAAAAATTCTCGAAATCAATCCTTGCGATACCGTAGGCACGCGAGCATATTGAGCGCAAGTGAGAAGAGGCTCACCTGTCACGGACAGCGTGGTTCGAATCTGCTCCTCGCCGACGCTGTTGTTGACGACGCAAAAGTATTTCCCGGCGTCCCGGAGGACGGGAGTGGACAGAAACAGGGAGCCGTCCACTTGGGCCGTCCGCGGATCGAGCGACAGGTCCACGAGGCGACCGTCCACTTCCCGGTACCAGCTGCGTGCGACAAGCCCCGCTGTTAGTGCCACTTTCTCGCAGCGTGACGCAGATCGATATGTACTGCCATGAGGCTGTCTGTATTTGCTCGGAGACAACACGAGAATAACAATTGCCGTACTAAAGAAGGCCGCTACTTGGTGTCTTTATTTGCTGCGAACAGTAACGATAAATAAATTTGCTAGAAGGCGAGCTACATTAGAGGTGTTCGATTGACCTATGAACACTTCCCGTCTTTAGGCCTTAATTTGGGCAATCCGGTTTTTGCACATCGCAAGTTTATTAGAAAAAATAAATTTCCGTACAAAGGACCAAACGTGTCTGTGATATATTCGCAGGATGAACGACACACCATATGAGTCGTACCCAGTTTCATTCGGTGATGTTTTCAGTTTAACGTCCTAGTCACACAAAAAAAATCACTGTAAATTTACGCTACCACGTAACGTATGTCACTGCGACAGAAGTTTGGCGTCTGCGCAATTTGAGAGTTATTTTAGAAGTTGTTTCTGAGCAGTTTCTTGACAACAATTCTGAAGACTTTCCCTCCCGTTTCGCTTTAAGTATCAATGTCGCTGTCGTGCCTCGTCCCTACTTTCGCAACGATGAACCACATCAGCCCGACGTAAATGAAATATACCGACCTCACTACTTTCGCATTCACACTGGAAGCTGATCCGCGTTCGCGAAGCGGTTGCGAACGCGGTTGTATAAAGATCCAGTACAATTGCATGAGCATTTGATGACACCAAATGCGCGTGCAAATGTACTGGATCTTTATACAACCGCGTTCGCTACCGCTTCGCGAACGCGGAACCGCTTACATTGTGAATGTGCCATTAGCGTGCAGCTAATGCGTGACGCCTCCATAACTATAGTTCACAGAAGGCAAGTGACAGGGCAAGAGACAGCTTGTGTCGACTCGTTTTCTGCTCGCGCAAACCCGTCAGAGGGGTTGTCGCGCGTGCAGAATTAAGGATGAACCACATGTAGGCGATTTAGCGAGCTACAGACGAGCGACGGAGATTTCTCAGTGTCTTTCGTCGCGTCGCTCGGTTTTTGAATTTCTAGAAAACGTCGCTGATCGCCTTGGTCGCTTTCTCTCGTCGCTTTCATGTGGTTTGCCTCGTCGAGGAACTGAGCGAGAGACAGCGAAGCGTGTCGCCGTCACTTGTCTCGCCGCTCGCCAATCGCTTACATGTGGTTTCTACTTCATTACCGTTCCCACGATGCATTTCGGCAGCGATGACGCAAGACTGGCTGGTGAGATTGGTCTATTCGCGATGTTCGTATAAGCTACGGACTTCCGATGTCTAGTCTTACATGCTGCGAATCTCGTCTGCTCGGATGGTCGTTTGCACGCACCGGCGTACCGGAGTGTCCATTACATACAATTGAAAAGAATCAAAGAAATAATACATACACTTAGAAGCAAGGACAGACAGCACAGTTCTGTTCTGTCTGTCCTTGTCCCTAAATGTTTTTATTCTTTCTATGATCCTTGTATTTTCACCAACCCTATTTTCTTTCTTTTCATAGAGAATTGCAAGCATGGCGCCTCATTGGTGCTCCATCCGCGCAAGCATGCAAGCTAGACCTATATTTATACACTTTTGGCAGAATGTCTATGGAAAATAGTGAGTAAAGGATACAAATAACCCAGAGACGATGAATCCAGCTTTCTCTCAACTATCTATAGCTTTTACCTCGACTTTTTTTCTGTAGTCTTTTTATTGAAGTTAGTGTATACAGATTCGATAGTAGGTATGGGCCAATAATGGGTTATTACGAATAGCCCATTGAATTCTGTTGTGTTAGGCATTCGCTTCAAAATCGAATTTAAGTATTCGACAATATCGAATTATTTGACATTTCTGAACGTTCTGGCTTTGATTTCCGGCCCGGTAGCGCGACCTTTTAATAATTTCCACCATTTCCTGCTCACGAACTCAGTACACTCGAAATTTAGGGTTACAGTTTTTCTGATACCGAATAAGTAGCCATGGGCGAATAAAGGATCTTGGGTCCGAATCGAATTCGATGCGAATAGGGATTTTGGCCGGGTAATTTCATATCGAATAGTTCAAACAGTGCAAGTAACAAATACCGCAAGATATGTTTAAACTATACCTTTATATTATCCCTTATTCCTTGTTTGAAGTACTATAACTGTAAATTTCAAGTGTACTGAGTTCGGGAGCAGGAAATGGAGGAAATGGTCGGAAGCACGCGCTGCCTGGCAGGAAATCAAAACCAGAGCATTCAGAAATGTCGATTATTGCGATATTGTCGAATACTTAAATTCGATTCGAAGCGAATGCCGAATAGAACAAGATTCAATGGGTTATTCGCAATAAGCGTATATTCGCCCATCTCTACGAATAAGGACAAATATAAATCCATAATTTGAATATTTCTTGCGGTATTTGTGACTCGCACTATTCAAACTATTCGAATTGAAATTATTCGACCAAAATCACTATTCGCTTTCAATTTGATTCGGACCCAAAAACTCTATTCGCCCATGCCTATTCGATATAAATTGCATAGAAATTTGATCAAACATAAATAGACGTGTTAACAAAGTTTATATCACTTTTCTAAAAAAAACATAAATCAGTTATTTGCCAAAAAAAAATCCTTAATAGTAATTTTGTTTGTCACCATACATCCATGGAACCATGCCCTCGCCACTTGTCGTGCGCGCATAGGAAGAGAATACAAATAGACATGCCACGGAGCAATCATAGCACTAGTAATTCAGTAGCGTTGACTGCTCCACCGCTATATACACCCTACACTTCAAAAAATCCAGTGGACGAGGACCATCCTGAAATATAAAGAGAGGACAAGCATGCTGCCTTTTCTACAATCATAATTTATACAAAATATAGCAAATAAGGGTTGGTGAACTACATATTCATATATACCACATTGCAAGAAGCGATAAATATTTGTCAATAAAAAAATGAAAAAAAAAAACAGCCCCCGCAAGGAATCTCGAAGTGGCTTCGATGCTGCTTCTCGGCGCTGCATCTTAACATTGTATCTATTCTAGCCTATACAAATCGTATAGAAATAAGCAAGAGAGAATACATTAAGACATGGACGTATACTTTTTTCTTTTGCATTTTGTATTGTATGTTTCTTTCAACCGAGGTCTAAAAAGACTTCGGTTGAAAGAAAGTTTGTAGACCGTCTATTGAAAACTGTCGAGACGACGTGACTGGATAGGAAGTTAAATGAGTTGGTAAAATTTTGATGATGTTCTTTATAGATAACTGCAAGCATGAAGTCCCAACTGGTGCCACAGGCGTGCAAGCGCATGCAGAGTGCACGTGAACGTAGCTTTGACAAGCTTGCAATTCCACGGGCGTGCCAGCACGAGCAAAAGAATGGCGGCGGCAAGTCGCCCTGCTCCCAATCGTTCATGGACTGCCCGAAATATATATTTTAAGCACGTGCAGCCTGCGTGTGAACGTAGCTTTAGCAAGCTGGTAATTGCTCGCACATGCCCTGACAAGCAGAGAGATGGTGCCTGCCATATATTCCTCGTGCATTCACTGGATGCCATATTTGAGTAGACTGATCACTGAACATGCTCGTATAAAGCTGTAAATCATTGGTTCCCAAGACCGGCAATCTTTATGGTGCGGAAAACACATTCGAAAAGCTCTCTGGATGGTCGCCGCCAGCACGCGGTGAGCAGAGGCGCAATAAGCTATGGCCGTAATAGAATAGCTCCCTATAAAAACACAACCTAGAAGATAGTATCTACGTCTTGCTTCCCCAAATGTCATCCCAATGTGGACCGCAAGTTCGTCTGCTTTTCTTGCAGGGGTTGCGGTGACGTAAGAACGCCGCGCTATGATTGGCTATGATTCAAGGATAGTGAGTAGACATCGAGTCAGCTTGCTTTGAGTTCTACCCACTATCCTCCATTCGGAGCCAATCAGAGCTCGGTTTCCGTCGCCAACACACGCAACCACTGCTAAAGAAGCAGACGAACTTGCGCTCTGCTTAGTCACCGGCAGGCTAGCTCGTTTCTTACCTTTCGCAATATCATCTGTTTCTCGTGCCATAGCTTCCTCTATGCACACAAAGCCTGTAATTTCGACGATGGAGCCCTAGAGTGTCCGGTTGCAGGGTTAAGGTGCGATGATCTGGTACCACAGATCATCAAAGAGCCTTTTCTCGGGGAACCTGGACGTCAGCGCACAGCTTTTGCGGCGTCTAGGACCCGAAATACACGTCTTCGCTCAAGGCCTCAGAGACACGCGCGCTTAGGGGTCTCGGAGGCATGGGATCACTCGGCAGTGTGTTTCGGCGTCTCGCCGCAGCGGGGCGCTAGACACGTTGCTCTCCTCTCATCCGTTGTCTGCCTCTCCACCTTTTCCATTTCGGCGGCTGATTCGCGTGGCAATCTGCCAGGCTTTGTTGGTATATAGGAGGCTATTCTCGTGCACATCGAAAGTGTTCGCGCACCCAAAGCACGGCGGGTGACAAGGAGCGCGCACTGGAGGCTGGGTGTTCGAAAGACGCACCCAACCTTTCTCATTTCGTCAGCAATTAAAGTCGATCCGCCCAGCACCAACCCAGCTTGCGTCAGCTTTTTTGCTAACACCTCTTGCAGCGTCTCCCATCAGTAAGCTAGGAAGGAGCTGACGCAGCGACACCAGAGTCATGCCTCTGCCGCTTTTAGGCCTACTCTCATCGAGCTTCCGCGTGTTTGCCGCTTCGGGCAGGTAGAGACCAATTAACGATGACGTCATGAGCAGGCCTCGACTAGAGTAGCTGAGAGGGCGAGAACAATAGGCATCTAGAGCGCTCGACCTACAGCACGCGCTGTTTGCCTCTAAGCGTTTTGTTATTTTTTTTCTTCTTTTCTTACAGTTTGTTTTTACACTTTTATGCGACATTTCACTATTTTAAGTCCCGCGTCGAGCTGTAATATCGGCTGTCACTCTAAGCCTTTCAAAATGTGGTTTGCTCACAAACTGATCTAACCAACTTCGTATTTCTTTCTGCTTTCTTCTGATATATATAAAAAAAAAACGATGTGTGCTACGCTATCCTTCATAGTGTAACATTGAGGCCTTGATTACAAAGATCATTTTGGTTTCCACGAAATTTTTCACGCTTCGCACATTAAATTGCCAAACATAGTGCACGAGGCATGAATCGCGAAAGAAACGTGTCTATAATGATTGTAGCACAACACCACAGCGTAATAGTCTTCCTACTGCGAGGGTAAGACGCAACAATCAATTTTATGAACGTTTTCAAGGCTACAGTCGGCGACAGCGTACAAACGAACGTCATGGCGAGTACAGAATATCTAATTACGATGCGGCAACAGCCAATAATAACGCAAAATAACGAATAGCAAAGCAGGATGCGTGAAACCAATAAGGCTCTCCCTGCGTTCCTTAAGTAATAAATGTCTATAAACATGGCACTGCAAAATTCGCATCGAGCCACTAGTGGGTCTCCCTCAGGAAGCACAATAATAAAGCACAAAATGCACTTTAACGCTGGCCTCCCCCCCCCCCCCCCCCATTTCTCCCCTATATTGTCGATCAGTCCGTCAAACCGTGCGTGCATTTCCCAGAAAATTTTGCGGGAAATTTGATGTCATTTTAAGTGGCGTCAATTCAGTTTCCTCGCTAAATTTAGGGAACATTTATGGCACTTGACCGAATAGGCCTATGCAGTTTCCCCGCTAAATATGGCAGTAAAATTGACGGCACTTGGCCGTATGTACCGATTTTGTTTTCCAACTAAATTTGGCGGGAAACTTGATGTCAGGTGACCGTATACACCAATTAAGTTTCTCTGCTAAATTTGGCAGGGCGATAGAGCACTAGTAACCTGATGTCTCGCGAACTATACACCCATATAGATTCCCCACTAAATTTAGAGATGATATTGAAAATCCAAAGTCCTATAATGCATGGAATGCATTAAAGCGCTTTGAAAATAAAATTTGCTGCCAATTGTTTTACCGTTACGAAACCTGAAGTCACTTACTCGCGGCATCTCGGTTAAGTTTTTCATTATATCGAGGTAACACGCACGCATTCTTACATGTATTCATGTGCATTATATGAGAACAGAACTAATGCCGTCGTAGCCTCACCTGTACGATGGTACCGGAAAACCCTGAACGGCGCAAGCGATCTCTACAATGTCTTGTCCTTCGACCAGTTGCACGAAAGGGTGACTGTCCGTGATCTTGGGTGCCACCACTCCTTGTGGGGCTGCGTGGCACAAAAAGAAATAATCGAAAGGTTAGCAACGAACATTACAAGGTAACCACGTCGCGTAATAAAGCATTGTACACACCGTATAAAACACAACAACGAGGACATGCTAAGGAGCAGACGAAAACGAAAGGGAACCCGGTGAAAGTGAGAACTCAAGCTGGTGGCTGACATCTTGGTAAGCCTCTACGCAAAAAAAAAAGAAAAAAAGAAGACGTTTTCATCATGTTTTCTATGGGTTGATTTTTCGATATACCTTTTATCAGTCTACTATATTCCCATTAATGTTGTTATTCAGCCCGACATACTAGATTCTAAACACAGCTAAAATAAAAAAGGACTGACAACCAAGCACTATATACGATACATAATGATTCCTTTGTCTCTTATGTTACTTCTGTGATGTCGTATTGTTGCAGTATTCGATCATGATCTGTCAGACGTGATCTATGCGTACGCATGATTCTCGGGTACATTTCTACCACCCTCTCAAAGTAACCAAAGGAGTGAATTGCTATCAGGTATTGAAAATTCGTTACAGTGATCTTCACGAAAACGTGGGTGATTCGGCAACATCAAAGACGTGTAAACATATATACAGCCTCTCCGTCAAACTCAGCAACGCGAATAATGTGCATTTTGGGATCACAATCAGCATGCTCAATTCGCTTTATGTAAAAATCTGTTATCACGCAACCAACTCATTGCTGCAGTAGTATTTAAATCATGTTCAGCAGGAGATGAAATAGGCGAGCGTCCATACGTTAATAAGTTTCCCAGGTTTTGTAGCTGATCAATAATACAAATAACAAACTTTACTTCCAATAACTATAAATCTAGTTTTGAAAAAAAATCGATATATTAAATAAATTAATGAGCACTCACCTACCTACAAAAGTTATAAAACCAACAAGAGCAAAGCAGGCAAATAACTTAAGAAAAAAATAAAAACAAATTGCACCAAACATTTCAAACATTTCTAAAAAAAAATACTTAATATACTGCGGCCGATCCACCCGCTGATTGATGTAAATGTGTTTATAAATAAATGCATAAAAACATAGAATGATATGGTTTTCTTCACTTAGTAATTTAACGATAGCATTAAGAAAATATTAAACCCGTTTAATTTGTAAACAAGCGAGTTTCGGAGTGTACCGGTTGGAGCTGCTCGCAAATGCTATGCAGAAGGTAATGATTCTTGCGTATATAAATGTCGGCTTGTTAAAGAAGAACTCTGGTTCTACAACAGTAAATATTAGTTAAGCGTATACTAAACCAATCGGCTTTTTTTATGAATAGGAAAGCTTTGCTAGAAGTTGTCTTTTTTGTTTTGCTTGACGTGTTTAAGGACATTTCTATGTACAGGGTGTCACAAGAGAAATTTTACACTGTCTTTTTTACCGCAAAAATAAACTAGGCATCGCCGAACGCTCATTCTCCGCCCAAAGGTAGCGATAGAGGTCACAACCAGATGCCAAAGTTTCAGCCCGATCCGATAACTTAATCAAAAGTTATAAGCGATTTTCTGAAAATTTCAATGGAGAAATGGCGGCCGACGGAGTTTTCGAACGCATGGGACTCTATGGCACCAGAAACCGAAAACAGGCAAAAATGGGTTCCATTTTCCGATTGACATTTTCAGAAAATCGCTTATAACTTTTGATTAAGTTATCGGATCGGGCTGAAACTTTGGCATTCGGTTGTGACCTCTAGCTCTACATTTGGCCAGAGAATGAGCGTTCGGCGATGCCTAGTTTATTTTTGCGGTAAAAAAGACCGTGTAAATTTTCTTTTGTGGCACCCTGTACAATACTAATTCTACAAAAGTTCTCGCATTTCATTTGCCACAAAGGGCTGTTTAAATATAAGATTTGTAAGCAACTCTGCGTTTTATTAAAAGAAAACGTTGTTTTACGGAAACAGATATGTTACCATAATTCAATTATAACGTCGCAGCGGAGCAGAAAACAAAATAGTTATTCGCGATCTGTTAAATTCAGCCAACCTGCGATTGTACAAGATTTAATTTATCAAACAGAACGAGTGGTACGTTCCCGTTCAGCCACGTCGTGCCTGCAATGGGTGGGCGTCATATGGCAACTTCTGGTTCCTTAGGAAATTTTGTTTAGCTCTTGACAAACGACGGCGATGATCTGCAAGCCCGTCTAAGCATGGTTCTGAAAACTACGGTCTGGAGGTTTCAAAGCCACGTTTGCACATGCTCGCAGCTCATTGTCGTCGTTTGTCAACAGTAAACCAAAATTCCTTCAGGAACCGGAAGTTGTCAACCGCCGATTACCTATTGCCACGGAGGAGGGTGGTAGTGAAGCAAACATTTGTTCGCGAAGCTACGGTATCAGGGAATTGTAGGAAGCTTGATGTCTGCGTTAAGGCAGTGTTTATTTGGTAAAAATTGGAGGACGCAGAAACTTCGTATTTAAAAGTGCAACGCGATAGAGTCCTCGGGCCCCGTTCGCATCGCCTTCTCACTCGCCGTGCAAGCGTGCCTTGCGTGGTCTCGTCAGTAGCGTGTCTTGCGCTCAACGACGAAAGGCCGTAAGATCAATCCCCCTTAAAATTCTTTACATTTTTCTTTAAGGCAAATGCATTACTTAATAAAGTGAAAGCATTTCAGATATTCGGCGACTTTTAGTTCGCATGACATGTCATGTTTTAATCAACTTCATTCCACGCGTGATGTCGCGTTTTACATGAGCGTTTTGGGTTGTTTGGAATTCCCCTGCGAGGTCATGGTGCTCTGACGTAAGGACCCTATCCACCAATCAAGATTTTTCCCCCACAACGCTACCGACGCAGACGCCGGCTTTTTTTAGACACAAACTCCTAAACTCTATCCCGTATAAAAAAAATTGAGCTATCATGCGCGGTTTGATATTGACACTTTAAAACACGAAATAGCGGTTGTGATTTTATTTTAAGCAGAAAGCCGTAGATCAGTGTAACCAAGCGAATGAACAAATGAAATAAAATTTCCGCCCATACAACCAATCTCTAATCGTAACATCTGAAAGGAACATACGCATATTATATGCACATTCTTAATTGACAATTTCGAGGTAAATTTGAAATAGTGCGATGGTTGTCTATCATTTGTTTTTGTCAGATGGGGCATGATTATTTTAATATTCTGTTCTTCCTCCAATGTTTAATAAATATCCATTTAGCGATAATGTTTAGCATTATACGTATATGATGCGTGTTTAAAATACGAAAGACTGTACTGAACTACTTAAAATTGTAAAGAACGGTAACAAAATGTTTTTTTCAAAGTTTTGTGATTGAGTGAGGTAATAAGAAATTTCGATCATGAGGCTTCATATGTTTTCTTTTCGTATGATTCTTCTTAACGATACTTTGTCCGCCCGTCATTTGTTTATTTTTTCGCTTTGCTTAGCGGGGAAATTTACGTATCGTTGCCTACACCGCCAATTCAGATTCCCTACTAAAGTTTGCGGGGAAATCTATAAAAATACAGGTTTTTATTTTTTTACCACTCATTAAAGCAGCGCATAGGCAGAAAGAAAGAGAACAAAACACGTTGGGCAATGTGCTGTGTTCTACGTGATCTCTTCCTCTAGGCATGTTTGCTGTTTAGTATGTAGTCTATATATTAAGAAGGCTCCATTCTCCACATTTCTATAGTTTGTTCGACTGCTTGACCTCTTTGAATCAAAATAAAAGAGCTGCTGAATAAGTGCCGAATGAAATTAATGATAGTACTTTTCAATCAAAAGCAGCTGACAGTTTTTCTTAATGTAGGATTGAGTAAACAAAGTTAGGAAGACAAATTAACTTTTCGCTCTGATTTCGACACATGGAACTCAAGCGGGACAGGTAAATTTATGATTCTCGTAGTATGCCTTTCAACGACAAAACTTGCTGGAAGTACTTTAGAAGCGAATTCTTTATTATCATATGTATGTGCTGCTAAACTCTAGCGATGCAGATAACAGAGCTGTCGAGCGCGGCCTATACCTTTAAGTCTGTACTGTAGCGGACGATGTGAAAAATCCCAGGCGAGCGTGTGGCTCTAAAAATCCACAATGTCACCTAACGGAAGAAAGTTTAACTCTCGTCTAGGCTATTGCGTGCATGAGCGGCATTTGAGCGGCCGTTTGATTTGCGTCGTCATTCCTTGCTTTGTCGCAGAGTTGGGAGGTAATCCGTTACGAGTAAAAGATTAATTGTAAGCTGTTACTTTTTCAAGTCGTCTTGTGATTGCCACTTTGTTTCCTAAGGCTGCAGTTTGTAAGGTAATTTGGTTACAAAATATTGGTAACAAATTACTTTAATCCCTCGTTACTAAAACAAAAAGTATGAGCATTAAACAAATACTGGGGCAATATCAACAGCAAATTCTGCAACAAAAAGAAAAAGCAAGTTCGACTAACTAAAAAGCAACGTTCAGAGGAGAATAACTGAAAAGAAAACACGATTTTTGTATCACCTGTCACTGGAACTACTACAAAAAACGTGCAAGGCATAAAGAAATATGCAAAAAACAAAGATCAAGAAAACAACAGTAGGAGTTGTCGTTTTGATGTAGCGAAGGTAGGCGCTGCTACCGAGCCTACGTACTGCTAGTTTTGTCTGAAGAATTCCTGGGATAATTGCCGGTCGCCGTAAGCCAGCGGGATGACGGGTGTGGCTGCAGCTTTCCCTGCCTTGTCGAATGGTCGGTGAACGGAGCACGCCTGAATCCTTTGTTTAATATCCAACACTATATTTTTACAAGGATTATTATATTGAGGGCGTATAAAAAATGGAATGTAATCTTTCAGAACATGTTTGAGAACATCAGAATTGTTTTTACTGTTTTCTTGATAAGCGTACGGGAAAAGTAAGGTGAAAGTAATTCGTGACGTAACGAGTAAATAATCCGTTACTTTCCAAAAAAAGTAACTTGTAGCGGTCTTCTATTACATTTTATTCTTGGTAGTTTGTAATTGTAATCCATAAAATTTGCAAGTAACGAGCACAACTCGGCTTAGTAGGCAAACGATCGCTCAGTCAACACCGATTTCGGCGTTGTTTTTGAATCAAGCTGGCGGCGTAGAAGATTCTCAATTTGATTAATTAGCGTTATCCGTGAAATAACATAAGACCTCATATATTATTTTATTTTGCGAACTAATTTCCAAACACCCAAAAACTGAAAAAACTGAAGGTTAAACTCGCTAACTTAGTGGTTTCAGCCGCGCTTGATCTTAAATTTTTTTTGCGGCAAACCCTCACAAACGACATTGAAATCAGTATTAAGTCAGCAACAGTCGGCCAGGCGGAACCTGGCGTTGTAAATGTAACAGCCGCTGAAGTGTCGAAAATAACTAAGCTTCCTTGTGATAGAAAGGTCAGCAAAACTTCGATGCCACGCGCTCGGATATTTTACTTTTCGTACGCAATTGCACAACGAGTTTACATTAACCTTTTACCTTGAAGGAAAAGTCTCCCGGACGTAGCACTGACGATTACTTCGTTCGTGAGCTTGTGCTTGGTTTTGCAATGATAGCTTCTGAGTCTGTCGCTGGGCCCGGTGTTTCGGACGTAAAGTTCGCCACTGGGCAGGACGCTGTACTTTCCTGCGAGAAAGACACATTCGGGAATGAAATCAGAAAGGCGTACCTTAAACAACAATTCCCTCCCTCCCCCCCCCATAAAAAAAATCCAATCAATCGCAGTTAAAAAAAAAGGCATATCAAGTTTTTTTTTTTAAGACTCTACTCGCTCGTCGTGGATGGTGACTTCCTCCTCTTGACTCATATCTTCTCTAGGTTTTTTTTTTATCTAATCTTTTTTTATCTAATAATTTGAAAAGAGTGGAGGGGTTTGTGGGATAGTAATGTCCTACTTTTATTATCTTGTACGATACCATATTGTTTTTCCACGTAAGATGCTCGGCAATTTTTTCCACCTCACAGGCTAGCAAAGAACGACGCCTCCGGTACAAGGCTACAGGGCGCTCGTGTTACGGCGGAGACAAAGGGGGCGTGTACGTTTGCCCCGCGGTAAACCTGAGCTCAAATATCTAACCAACTCCTGACTGTGACAGCGACCGCGGACCACGTAATTCGTGGCAAACGTAAACCTCCTCCTTGGGTTCGCCGTAAGATAAGCGCCCTGTAGCCTTGTACCCGAGGAGTCGTTCTTTTATTCCGTGCATTTGGAATAAACGAGACTTTCGAAGTCCAAGCGCTATCAAGGTGCATAAACTTTCTTGAGTTTCCGTGAACAGCCACAAGAAAAAAGAAATCTGGAGAGATGTTTTTTTATTACAGCAAGCTACAGCAGATAATTTTGTTACTCGTGGCAAAAAAAAAAGAAAGAAAAACGTTGCGTTTTCTTAAAAAAAAGAAAAGGTGCCAGCAGCGGGGTGAAGCGAAAAACGCCGGAGTCAAGACGCTTCGCAACTGCCACTTCGACCGCATAGAACTTTTGTACCAAGCAAATGGTGCAACATATTTTTGTACGATCTTTTTGCCTGGCCTAAGGAGAGTTGTATCCCGGAGTAATAATGAAATCGAGACCGGGTTTTTATTAAGTTTTCTCCAATAAATATATTTTATTGAAAATGTTTTTTTTTTCAAGATATGTTTTGCTATATTGACATATTTATCGGAAGTTCATATTTTGCGGAAATAATTTAGATGCCCTGGCCTATATTACGTGTACTTTTCAAACTCGCTAATGCCAACACAATGTGGTAGAATGTCTGAAAGTTATTGAATTTCTTTCACCTGGTCATAAGTTATAAATGTTATATATATATATACATTTTATTTCATAAAGCCAATAATAATTTCATGCAGCTGACATACACTTTGGTGTGTTACATAAAACAGGAAACTCTTTTGGTGTACCACTCTTTGCCTGCCTTCCACAGAATCGCAAATTTGGAAACCAATGCAGTCCGCGCTGCGAGCAGGGCCGTCGCGCAATCTTGAGACATTTTTTTTTTCTCGTAGTGGAAACGAGTTTTCGAGTCAAAAAGTTCCGTTTCGTGTGATTCATTTATGTGTACATCACATATAAAAAATTCAGAAAAAAAAATGTTGATTGAACCTGCAGGTTCGATCTCTCTTAGAATCAGCCTTTTCCTTTGCGCTTTTTGAGCGAAAGCGTAAATGAGCTCGAGTAGCAGCAAAGCCGGCCTCGGTGGCGTTGCAAAAAGGCCAATGTTGGTGCCGTGACACAAACAAATCCTCATTGGTCAATAGGGTTATGACGTCACATCAACATGAACTCGCGCGGGGGAAAAAAGTAAATCATTTGCCCTAAAGAAAAATGGTTATAATTTTAGACGGGTTTCAAAACAACTATCTTTCGATTCCGAGCTAGACACGGTACTGATTAGGTCATGATCCCCGCACTTCCTGCACACCAGCAGCAAGAGCACCAGAAGCGATTCACGAAGCCAATGCGAACCGGCACTGACAACGCTATTGACTTTTACTCTTAAAGGCGAAGCCTAAACAACCTCCAAGTTTTGCTTTGCACTATAGATCACGAACTCGACGAAGCATGCACTTACGTCGTGCTGGCATACCTCTGTCTCTAAGAGCGCATAAAAGAAATTTGGAATGTAATTACAAGAACAAGAAGCATGCTGGGTTTGGAGTTTCACATGTTGCACGTGCTACGTTTGCAGCCAGTAACGTTTTAAAACTTAAATATACAACAATATACTTTTCAAGTGCACTCGTTATCTCCGCATTCCACTTCACTTCAAATTTTTCAACAAAAAATAAACGCACGACCAGCGTGACTTCTAAAAATCCCAACATAATCTTAAGCAAAATGTTTAATAGAAAGACGAACCAAGCCATATGAGTACCAGCAACCTGCGGTCAAATATATATGAGCATATTTGACAAGTCCCCACTTGTGCAAATCCTTCGTATGTCCTTATCAGCCTGCCGGTAAGACCGCCTGCTGTATTAAAACTCTAACGAAGCTATCGTTCGAGCGCTGTGCTTTGCGAATATTGTGTCACTTAACCTCGTACGCCCCAGTCTTGATGGTTACTAGTTTGAAACACTCCGACCTCCGAAGTGAATCTGAGCGTCCACCCATGAGTGGTAGCAGAGATCACGTACGTGTGAGTAGTTTCTCGTAAATGCTGCAAAATTAACCAAATATATAACCCTTTGCCTTAAAGGGACGTTTAACTCAAGAAAAATAGCTTTCAGTCCACAGATAGGGTGTGTATCACAAGATAACCACCCCACCAACCAAAGAGAAAGATATTGAGCGAGGTTTATTTATTTATTTAATCTATTTGTGTGTACACACTACAGCCCTCTGAGCTGAGGTATGGGACTACAAAACAAAATGTGGTCGTGCAACAAGCACAGAACATAAAACAACATGAAAAAATCAAGATCAATCGTTGCCAACGGCACACAGAAACCCATCAGGCGATAGTAATCGATTATTTCCCTGTAATGACTCCTAAATTATAAATATTCGGGTAAAGAAACTGTGCTTGAAAATATCGGTAAGCGCAAAAAAGGGTGAAATATTCAAGTCATGGTGACTCCTTGTAGATATGGCGTTGTTAATATTTAGATATTAACTTAAAGAGGTGTAACGAGATCAATTCACTAAAATAAAGTATAGGAACCTCACATTTTCGATGCGACGATGCGCAGAAAGGGGACTCAGGCCTAATGCTATAAGGGCGGGGGAGGGTGAGAATACGCTGTCCTAGCGGCTAGAAATGAAACGTACTGCTTAATTCTGCTTTGCCTACACATTTTTCATATCCGACTGTTTATATGGACTTCAACAATTGAACCCTTCTGGGTGATACAGCTGCGGATTAGTGTGTTTTTTACGTCAGGAGTTTAGTATCTCGTGGCGCAACACGTTGAGTACGCCAAAGGTAACCGAGATTTTTTAGTGCTTTGATACTTGTTAAATTATGTTACATACTTATCCAAGCCAGGCGCCTAAAATGTTTATTAATGAGTTATTTATTTAGGCTCTAGAGCCCAAGAGTGCTATTTCTGGGTGCTGAAAGTAGGCTGCAGCAATTCCGAAACTCGGGCTCAAACGGAATCGTTCGCGTGTGCGCAAGACGCAGTAATCATCTAGGACTGCCTCTCTCGGGGACCGGCCAGGATTTTGGCCTCATTATTCACCGGGTTTGAGGCGTCCTATTTTGCTCTTTCTTGTCTCTTCTTCTCAGACATCTTATTCCCCTTCCTTCTCGTTTGTCCTCTTCTTTCTATTCACCATTGATTATGGAGCCGAGAATTTCTCCTGAAACAAGAATGTGCCCCGATTCTCCGACGGGCGTCGCGAGAGAACATAATCACCTACGTAGCTCGAATGTATCTGCCGGCGCACTGCCTTCAATCACAGATTTTATAAATGATGTCTGCATTAAAAGAACAGTTTGCACTAATTCCACTTTAGTTGTTTGTTGGTCCGGAAAACACTCTGGTTTCTAAGGTATCCAATTTATAGAACGGAAGTGGCCCTAGAAGTTCGAGATGCGGTGTGACTTAAAAAACTGTAAAGGCATGGACCGCGCATGTACGGTTCAATCGCGCCTTTGATGCCCGCAATAGTTTTGTTTTGATTTTGTTGCCAGCGCGTGTGTTACGAGAAAGTAAACTTTACTTTTTGTAAGGTGTTTGGTAAATTTTCGCGCAAGCTTGTGCCAGGCTTGTGCCAAGTTGGCTCTAGGTCGCGCCAGTCTGGCCCACGCCTGGGCCCAGGAAGTGTGCTACTTGGGAACGCAGCTTCTGGGACAAGACGCTTATCACTTTAGGTTCAATCGCGCTATTTTGAATATTTCTTATGGAGACGTGCAACTGCCGAAACAGCCAATAACCAATAACGTTTACACTAAATAGTAGCCAGCGCTTGAACATTTAACATGGTGCCCCTCTGATTGTAATTCTGGAACAGATATTTTCGAACGTAAGTGCTATATAATACACGCCCTATGATGCTCAAGCTTCGTGAGTGATAACGCGGACAACAATTCGTGCTTAATGAAAAGATAGGGCTTCTCTATTTATTTGCGAATAATGTCGCGGTAGTTACCACAATAATAATAATATTACATATTACTCTCCGTAAAATTAAATCTTACTCTCAGTTACCTTAAAAATGATGTTAAAAATGATGTTGATGTTAAAAATGATGGAATGATGTCGCGGTCTCTACCTTAATAATATTAAAATATTGCGTTTTAACATTGCTTTATGTTTAAAAACGTGAAAAAATATACCTGTGCGAAGGAAATCAAGAATGTACAGATGAATCGAGGTTAATAATAGGCATATAAAAAGAAAGTCACTGCAACATGTGTGAAATGATCGACAAAAGGGAAATCACAATTTCTTGCGAAGAACAACGCCATTTTCAAGAAAACACCACGCCACAACACACGCCTCATGTCAGTACAAATTATAACATAGTTGTTTGTCAGCCCTGCGTTTGTTCCTTTCTATCCTTTGTGTTTATGTTTACATTTTAGCTGGCACTTATTCCTAAAACCTACCAACTACCACAACTTGAGAGTGTACTTCTGGGAATAAATAATTGTATTTAGTGCTCGTTAATTCTCTGTAATCGTATCGTTCACAACATTGATGAGCCGACTCGTACCCTCCGGTGACTGGCCCGAGCGGACATGCTTAGCACGCGTGTAAATGTTTAACACGTGAACAGGGCAGCGCTACGATTTTCGCTTGAATTTTTTTCACTTTACACGATCTAATTGGCTGTAGTGGAGCCGTAGTACACACGCCCGCAACGGCACTGAATAAGAAACTCATTTGTTGCGGTGTAATTCCCAGGTCAAAAACGAGCGTTTCCTTTCAACTTCTCCTTCGCAAAACATAATGACGTAGCGGCGGGGTCGCAGTACTCCACAATGACGACATAGAACTACGCCTTATTAATCGGACTCCAGCATTGCGTGAGCACTCGATTTGGGCTCGTGATAATCAATAGGTCAACAAACAATCGGGTAGTGGCCCAGGTCCTATCGCTCCACCGTCAACAATATCTGAACCATACTGATATCTTGAACTTAGCAAGTGTCCTAAGCTTTCCCAACCCCAGAGCGTGGTTACGAGCAACATTTGCGGCATACAATTGGCTCCAGATATCGGGGCCCCTTGCTCTGGCTGCTAGTTGATTGGTGAACAATACTCGTATTTCTTTATTTTTTCTGCGATTTATCTTGCTTGTGGTGAAAAAACGAACGCATTTTTCATAGATTATTAACGTCAGTCATTTCTTCTACGAGATATTTGCGCAGACTACGGAAATCGTTCCATCGACCCTTCCAGTAATCGTGCGCCGTTGAGCTTCTACTGCTCTAAAGTATAACGAACCCCTTGCACGAAAACGATCTGCACCCATGTTTTATTATTTTCCTGTACGGAGTATAATGGTAAGTCTCTCCAAGCTTCGTAATCGATAATTAATTTTGTGTTATCTCCGCACGTGTTCACTCAAAGAGAGGTAACTCAGGGCCAGATACGTGAAAGGAATAAATTATCTGGGAAAAATTACCAAACTGAAAGGGAGCCGATCACAGAATGCTAGTAAACAATGAACCGCACTATCGAAACTTAGCTGTATAATAAAAAGATATCGGCATTCTCGAGGAGCAACGGTGACCTAAATCGTTGTTAATGTATCATATTGATTATTGCTTCTGTACAACAAATTAATTATTAAAAAGAAAATTCATCATACCAGCTCCAAACAGGCGCCGTATTCATAATGTATTCTACCAAGCTATCAATCAACGTAGACATTCTTGTAATGTTGAATCAAATAAAAGAACACAGGATTTTGATATTGATGCAGTTGCTCATTAGGGAAATTTACGCACATATAAACCTGCGTTTTTTATTGTATATATTATTCGCTGAACTCCCGCACACGCACTTTGATAGTGAGTGCTTGCTAGGGGTTTAGTCAAACCTCTCGCTTGTGCAGCAGACTTGGTAAATATTCCTTTACAAGCAAATTCGCGGTTGTAATTTGTTCCGTTTTCAAATAGACTTTAATTGCCACGATACGTATTTGCGGCAGTAATTTATAATGTAATTTTGCTATAAATATTGGTAATAGAATACTTTAATTACTCGTTATTTTTTTTTTTTTAATATGAACTTAACAGAAAAACTTTAGCAACATCAGTGTGCGACCATCCGCTCGACTAAGGCTCGAAAACGAGCTCTCGCGCCGATGCTTTATTCAGGACTACATGCAACTATAATCCGTTAATGCATAAGCTGTCACCACTTCAGAGCTGCAGGTACAAGGCGGCCGCTTTGAGACGTTGCGCTCGTCATGGAAAGGCTCCTTTCAAAGTGAGCTTTCGTAGATTTTTTTTTTTTTTCACATGAATCTGCTAGCTGAGGTAAACGCTGCTACTGAGCATATGCACCGCTAGCTTCGTTTGCTGAATCCCAGGGATCATCTTTGGTCGTTGCAAGCTAGAGGGAAGACGGGTGTGGTCGCAGCTTTCGCTGCCTTGTCACCTTACAGGGTGACGGAGTGCACACATATTATTTCTCTTAAAATCTATATTTGATGTTTACAAGGACTACCGTAATGCGGCCGTCTTAGAAATAGAAAGTCGTGGTCCAGACGTTTTTTTAAAACATCAAAATGGCTTTTATTGCTGTTGTTTCTCAGTGTACAGTAAAGGCAACGTGAATGTAATTTGTAAAGTAATAAGTAACGTAATTTTTTGTTTTTCAGCGAAAGTAATTTGTAACCTAAATTCATTGCATTTAAGGCTCGGTAATGTGCAATTGTAATACCTTACATTTTTCTAGTAACGGGAATAATTCTGTTATGGAGTGATCTCTCAAAAAACATAATTCTCACAACATTATGTGCACGCATTGCTACGCAGAAGTGCATTGTCTAGCATTACAGGTTTTCAGTGTTTAGAGCTTTCGAGATGGAAGCTAAGGGTGCCCGACTAAAACAAAAATTAAACCTTCATAGCTACATGAACATATCTTGATAATTTTCGATATTTTAAATATGTGGTGAGAAACGTCTTACACAAGTTAGTCAGAAATATTTTACAAATTAAAAAAAATGCCGTTTGTTTCTTAAAAAAAAAGAGAAATGCACTCAAATTAGTGCTACTGTTTAAGAAACAAGAAAGTATCACATGCGCAATTTTGGTTGCACTGCTCAAAATGTTGTCCCCGAATATGATTAGTTACGCGTATATTATCCACATGTTATATAATATATCCCGTACAAATATCCGAAGTACAAGAATACAGCGTTCCTGGAGAGAAACCACGTCAGATGCAGCTTGGTACAAGCGTATTATGTTAGTGACGTGATGGAAAGCAAGAGCCGTCGGCTAGAGTCTTTAAAAGGTTTGAGCAAAAACAATAAAAAAATCAACGCTTTGGATAATTCCAATTATCAGTAACACAGTTTTCTAGAGTTTTTATATGGTAATAACTAAACTATCTTATAAAAGAAGATTCGACTGAGTTTGCTAAATACGTTTCTATTATTCTCAACTTCTTAATTGTGTCTTTTTTTTCTTTAATTTCAATTCTTTAAATTCTCTTCTTTTCCAGAAAGACCAAGAATGCTAGCGGATAATGTAGAGTGGGATTTCTTGTTTTACAGCAATGAGCGCTCATCGGTTTAATATTATGGGCGTTAGAACGAATCTAAATTGAGTATTTTCTGTAATGCCAGCTGATCTATTTCTAGCGCGGTGAATGTGTAATGCCAAATAATGGCCTATTCATTGATTCACAAAAAAAAACAGCAAGTATTGTTTAACTCCGATTTTCAAAACGTTTCCCTAGCTATCTTTGCAAGAAAATGTATTCGTCTTCGGCATTAGCGGTAATTCTCATGTCTCGTGTTCAAAATCCCTACCGACAAACATAAGAATAATTTTCGTTATCTAGACTATGGAACTAAAAATGTATCTGGGTTCTCTCTCTATTTTATGTTTTCAGAAATTAGTCCATTGTCTGCAATCTGGACTTTAGGACTGTCACCAACAGAGTTTCACGCAATTGTACTGGCGCTCCCAATATTTGCGAAGAAATAAAAATAGTCACCTTCCTTCTACCAACATAAGCAAGTAATTGCATGACGTCACTGACAATTTTTCTACAGTTTCTATTGCCGACCTGAGTGCATTGGGCACGACTAAAAGGATACGAGACTGGAGTTTGAGCATCATCGACTCTTCTTGCAGCTGCCACGTATTCGCCCAGCTGAATCGTCAGGACTATTACCAAAATTAGAATTACCTCTGTCAGATGTACTTGTGATGGTCAGGCCGTCGTCCCTGTGCCAGGAAACAAAGTCCACGAAGTCCTTCACGAAACTCGGGACACTGCAGCGGAACACGGCCGTGTTGCCCGAGATGACGAATTCGTCGAACACTTGGGGCTTGTACGGGTGCTGCACCACTGTCAAAGGAAATCAAAAGCTCGTTAAAATAACTTCTTTTAGTGTTTTAATGAAAGCACGTACCGCTATGGCGCCTGTTGTTTTCATGAGGCCTTAACTTATGTGACAGAATATAAACACCTTTCATTTTAGTTCCTTTATTTGGTCAAATTTATTTATAAAATATTGGATAGCCAATGACTCCATCCTAAATAAAACGCTTGACAAAATAACAAAGTTTAAATTCTAATTAGACATTAAAACTAAGTCCGCGATGTGAAATTCGGCAGAACATTACATGTGCTGCTCTCACGGTCAATGGCTTAGCATGAAGGTAATGACACACTATGTTCTTCCTGTGGTTCCGTCGTTCTTTGCAGTGCCAACTGTGTGGAGGCTCTGCTTTTAAGCTGAAAATGGCGGCGCGTCACAGGGGCGGAATAAAATAAAAGACGCCCTTCTGATTCTTCAAATAGTGCTTTCTCATGCGTCATGGTTGCCTTTACTTCTATAACTTGTTACAAGCGGACCTTAGGCTGTAAAACAAGCCGTGCCAAACGGCGCCCCTACAAAAAAAAAAAAAAACACACGAAAAAAACACGTAAACTTTTATTGCATGTGCACTGACAAGTAAGTGCTACAGTTTCTAATTTCAGGGCGCAGTTTTCTTGCTCCATAGACAATTAGACTAAAAAAACAGCAAAATTAAGGTTGGGCACGTTCGCAGACTACGGAGTTACGGACGCTATTTACTTGTGGCGCCATCTCCTGATAGTCGCAGCGATCAGACACCATGGTGCGTCGTATACCGGCTGTGCTTATCGGGAAATGGCGGCACAAGTAAGCAGCGTCACTATCTTCGTTGCCTGCGAACACGCCCAAACTTGACTTTGGCTAGTTTTTTGCACTCATTTACACAGAAATTTAGGTACAACTTGACATTTTCCAAGGTAATACGTCCCTGCTCATTACACATTCGGCGAAAGTTTTAAATTTTGTATCATGCAGGGGCCGACCTTTCCGGCACGCTTTACAGCGAAAGTTCGGCTTGGGACACCGTATGAAGTAACCGGCAATTTAATGAACCCAGGATTTGGCAGCTCCCGTGCATCTTATTCTCTTCTGCAGCCAACGAGAGTGTTGCATCAGGCAAGAACTCCGAAAACGAATCCAGGAACAAGAACTAAGCCATGACCTTCGTTTCTTCAACTGTCAATGAGTCAGTTACAGCTAAAAGATCGCAAGGCGCATTGACTCCCGAGCTGCTTCTTATTTCCAGCGAAGACAGGAACACGGCGTTTGCCAATAACTACAAAAAATCAAGAATGAGAAAGCATGAAGTGCGAATATAATTAATCCCGCTGTGCGTTTCTTACTATCCCACCGGCAATACGGTCGTGTTTTGTTAATTTGGTCACCGCTAATATAGACAATATTTTAAAGGAAGAGCTGGGTACACATATAAATTTCTTTCAGCGCAATATAGACAAACCACAATATAGACGTTTTTATTCTTTTTTTTTTTAGAACACGGAAGTTTTTATATTAACGAAACATGATTGCGTCATGAAATCACCAGGAGTATTTAAGATAGCAGACTTAACTTTTATGTCTAAATGTACACACTGTCTCAACTCTCACCTAAAACGCTTTGGTTATTGCAGCGAGTGCTCTGCGGGAGAGTTGACACACAGGTATATTTAAGAGTGCACTTTGAGGCTTTATGGCAAGACTCAGGCTTATCTAATGATATTGAAAAAAGAGAACCGAAGGCTTGAAATGTAACGGGCTCAATCTCTGATGACATCTTCGCCTACTGGAATGTAACGGAGGATCTGCGCATGTTTCCACAGCTCAATAATTTGCCTATTTCAGTCTAGACTATAAGCACTCTAATTGTTTATAGGATGTGTTGCTTGCTTTAGGTAGATACAGGTAATCCTAGAAAAAAAGCCATTTACGAGACGGTTGTAACAAAACCAAGTCAAACAGAAAACGCCAAATAAACCTTCCCTTGCATATATAAAAAAGCAAAAACCTTTTTGGGAGGAAGTTTATTTTTTTTTTTACAATAGCTTTGAATTCTTGAACCCGGAAGACAAACCTAATAAGCTGTATGCGAAGCCGGTTCTTGGTACAGAACCACGTATCTTACCACGTTTAATTTATTTTTGTCGGTACGGGGATATTGTTTTAATTTTTCGGGTCACGCGTACAATCAATAGACGATAAGGGTTTCCATACCTGCATTTTAATTTCTTCGATATAACCCTATATGCCTCAATTTTTCGTTCCACTCCAAAAACTAATACCGAAAAGCCGAAAAGTAGCGAATCTATAACAACACAAAACGAACCCCGTAAAGCAAACCCAAAATTGAAGAAATACAAAACCCGCTTTAACCGCGCAGCTCTAGTTATGCGCTCTGAAAACTCCAATGAGTTTACATTCCAGCAAAGAATTTGAAAGCGCCAGTTGTGGAGACCTACGAAGGATGCTTCGCGAAGGACAACGCTGGAAATATGTTTCGACCTAAAACAAGCGCACGTACTGTTACACTGAGCGTAACGCCAGAGCCTGAGGCGTCAAGGAGCAGACAGTATTTGCGGCATGCGGAGCGCATGTTCGTATTCATCTTGCGTAGCGGTTGCGGGGACATCATTACGCCGAGCTCCGATTGGAGTTGCTCGGAAGGATAGTGGGTGAACGTCAAGGGAGCTAACATTGATGTCTACCCACTACCCCTCGAATCAAAGCCAGTAAGAGCTCGGTTTCAGACGACACCGGAACCCTATGCTTAAGAACCAGGCTCGGTGCATTAAAATATCATCATCGCCGTTCACCGAGCTTCTTCCGTAGTGCTTTGCAGAAAAATTGACGCATCGGAGTCCTTTCTGTCTAATTACTGAGAGCCAATAAAAATCTTTGGGTGTGCCTGAACCCGGGGTGCATAATTATAGTTCTGTAGCCTATGATACTGCGGCGTTAGCCGTTAGGAACGCCGAAGAAGAAATTGCCAAGCAAAGAGCATGAACATTATAAGCCCACACCTTGGGTTTCTTAAGTTGGCAGTTCCTACGGCAGCGTATGTCTTAAAGGGCACTGACCGATCGAAATCGTATATATATATATATTGTTTTTTAATTATGCAAAATATTTGAAGACGATGCCTGTACACTACTCTAAAAATGTGAAGCTTAAAACACAATATTTGTGAAGTAGAAAAAAAAATATTTCCAAAGTCGAATTTGAAGTTCCCGCGCAATCCTCTCTAGTGCAGTGACGTCAAAGATTGAGTCGTCCTGCAACTCGAGTTTATCTCCTGCCTCCTAACCTTCCGCACCGGATGTGCCGTGTGCACCCGCATAAAGCGGTCAACAGCACTTCTCCGTGCGTGCCGCATATCGCTGTGAGCAGACGAATCCTTACTTCGTAGGAGACGAGAACGGACGACGGGGCGAAGGGCACGCGACATGTCGTCGGCCGTAGAGACACGAGCTGGCTCCGGAAAGCGTACTGCGCGAGGCTGGGCCCGAGCGGGAACGATGGAGACGGTCTCGCCGACGGTGATTCCCGGAGGAGTCCACACGCGAGGTTCGGACCAGGACCGGCGGGAACGGCGAGCCCTGGCCATACCGTCCTATAAGTAATGACGACCCCGAGTGTTTCCGCTGTGAAGCTCGGGCTATGTAAGCCCGGAACCGCTAGCCGACGCGGCGCTGGCGTTGCAAGGGTAATCTGCAGGCCTGGACATGAACTCCGACTGCGACCTCTGAACGACGGCCGACGACCAGGGTTTTTGGGTAGACGAATTGGAGGGTCTGGGGATCGATGACGGGCAAGCGGGAAGTACAGTACACCTATTCGCTGTCTTCTCAATGTGTTGTGTCTCTCCTTCGGAGACCAGCGAAGCACACACTGATCGAGCAGCGATTATTTTAGAGCGATCCGACAACTTTGGAGTTTGATGTTCTTTCAGGGCCCTTTCAGCGGTTATGAATTCTTTAAACGGCGTGGGACCGAAGAGAAGGTGCAGTGGACTTTTCTTACTGACATGAGGGGCCATGTCGCACAGGTGATACGTGAAAGGCTGCCACGCGGTGGAGTCTCAACCGAAAGTACGCTGCACAGGTTCCCGAAGAATGCGTCAGAGAAGGCGGCATTGGCCAGTTGCCATTCCCAAATAACTACTGAAGGGTTTTTGATCGTAGTCCTTTATTTATTCTCGGACCTTTGTCCACGAGGTTTATGGGGCAAACCCAAGCGTCTCTACAGCGTTGGGTTTTTTAATGGTAGCTGCGTTGAGGTGTGGAGTCGTTCCGACGAACTTCCCGCAGCAGGTCACATCACACGAAGCAAAACGTCCGAGGCTAGAGGTAAGTCTACCAAGCATAGATAACTTCGTCCTCTTCCCCTACTCCGAGATGATCCTTGCGGCTACAAGTGCCGAGCACCACTGTGTTTATCGAAGATGGGTAAAAAGCCAGGGGGCGACATTACCTCCGGAGTCCGATTTTTGACATTTTGAAAGAAGGGGCAGGGCGTAATGCGTTCTCAATTTCGTTAAAAAAATAACAAGTTTTACGAATTCCGTTAATAACTTTTATATAAATTTCCCTTACGAAGCTGCTAAATTTCATACTCAATTAGTAGAAAAGAAAAAGAAAAGAGCAGGTTAAAATAGGGAGAGAAAAACGCCTAAAATAATATATCGCGAGCGTGCGCGTGCGAACTCTTTTAATATGGAAACATTATATGCACGAAAATCCAGCATCGGCGGCGGTGTGACCGAGCGATGGCACCAAAAAATGGCCGGAGGCGCAAACAGTAATATCACGCCTAACATAGTCTGATCAAGGTAAACTTTTTTATGGAGGTTCCTGTAGACAAAATAAAATAATTGCTTAAAAAATGAAAGAAGTTTACAACATCCTGTAACGCCTAATTAGAGCGCAGCTCTTGAGGAGGAGGAGGGAAAGATACTGAGGGGAGGATGTACCGCTCCTCTCTCCTCCTCACC